AGTAGAAGAGGTCGTCAGAGATTGTGGACATAGTAGTAGAGGTTGTCAGAGACTGTGGACATAGTAGAAAGAGGTAATCAGACACTGTGGACATAGTAGAAGAGGTCATCAGAGACTGTGGACATAGTAAAAGAGGTGGTCAGACACTGTGGACATAGTCGAAGAGGTGGTCAGACACTGTGGACATAGTAGAAGAAGTAATCAGAGACTGTGGACATAGTAAAAGAGGTAAACAGAGACTGTGGACATAGTAGGAGAGGTAATCGGAGACTGTGGACATAGTAGAGTAGACGTCATCAGAGACTTTGACATAGTAGAATAGGTTGTCAGAGACTGTGGACATAGTAGAAGAGGTGGTAAGAGACTTTGGACATAGTAGTAGACGTCATCAGAGACTGTGGACATAGTAGTAGCGGTCGTCAGAGACTGTGGACATAGTAGAGGAGGTGGTCAGAGACTGTGGACATAGTAGAAGAAGTAATCAGAGACTGTGGACATAGCAGAAGAGGCGGTCAGTGACTGTGGACATAGTAGAAGAGGTAATCAGACACTGTGGACATAGTAGAAGTATTCAGAGACTGTGGACATAGTAGAAGAGGTAATCATTCACTGTGGACATAATAGAAGAGGTAATCAGAGACTGTGGACATAGTAGAAGAGGTGGTCAGACACTGTGGACATAGAAGAAGAGTTGGTCAGAGACTGTGGACATAGTAGAAGAGGTAATCAGAGACTATGGACATAGCAGAAGAAGAGGTAATCAGAGACTGTGGACATAGTAGATGATGTGGTCAGAGACTCTGGACATAGTAGAAGAGGTAATCATAGACTGTGGACATAGTAGAAGAGGCGGTAAGAGACTGTGGGCATAATAGAAGAGGTGGTCTGAGACTGTGGACATGGTAGAAGAGATGGTCAGAGACTGTGGACATAGTAGAAGAGGTGGTCAGAGACTGTGTACATAGTAGAAGAGGTGGTCAGAGACTGTGTACATAGTTGAAGAGGTGGTCAGAGACTGTGGACATAGTAGAAGAGGTGGTCAGAGACTGTGGACATAGTAGAAGAGGTGGTCAGTGACTGTGGACATAGTAGTAGACGTCATCAGAGACTGTGGACATTGTAGAAGATATGGTCAGAGACTGTGGACATAGTAGAAGAGGTGGTCAGAGACTGTGGACATAGTAGTAGACGTCATCAGAGACTGTGGACACAGTAGTAGCGGTCGCCAGAGACTGTGGACATAGCAGAGGAGGTGGTCAGAGACTGTGGAAATAGTAGAAGAAGTAATCAGAGACTGTGGACATAGTAGAAGAGGTGGTCAGTGACTGTGGACATAATAGAAGGTAATCAGACACTGTGGACATAGTAGAAGAAATGTTCAGAGACTGTGGACATAGTAGATGTAATCAGTCACTGTGGACATAATAGAAGAGGTAATCAGAGACTGTGGACATAGAATAGGTGGTCAGACACTGTGGACATAGTAAAAGAGTTGGTCAGAGACTGTGGACATAGTAGACGAGGTAATCAGAGACTGTGGACATAGTAGAAGAAGAGGTAATCAGAGACTCTGGACATAGTAGACGAGGTAATCATAGACTGTGGACATAGTAGAAGAGGTAACCATAGACTGTGGACATAGTAGAAGAGGTGGTAAGAGACTGTGGACACAATGGAAGAGGTGGTCAGAGACTGTGGATATGGTAGAAGAGATGGTCAGAGACTGTGTACATGTAGAAGAGGTGGTCAGAGACTGTGGACATAATAGTAGATGTTATCAGAGACTGTGGACATAGTAGTAGCGGTCGTCAGAGACTGTGGACATAGTAGGGGAGGTGGTCAGAGACTGTGGACATAGTAGAAGAAGTAATCAGAGACTGTGGACATAGCAGAAGAGGCGGTCAGTGACTGTGGACATAGTAGAAGAGGTAATCAGACACTGTGGACATAGTAGAAAAAGTGTTCAGAGACTGTGGACATAGTAGAAGAGGTAATCAGTCACTGTGGACATAATAGAAGAGGTAATCAGAGACTGTGGACATAGTATAAGAGGTGGTCAGACACTGTGGACATAGTAAAAGAGTTGGTCAGAGACTGTGGACATAGTAGAAGAGGTAATCATAGACTGTGGACATAATAGAAGAGGTGGTCAGAGACTGTGGACATAGTAGAAGAGGTGGTCAGAGACTGTGGACATAGTAGAAGAGGTGGTCAGTGACTGTGGACATAGTAGTAGACGTCATCAGAGACTGTGGACATTGTAGAAGATATGGTCAGAGACTGTGGACATAGTAGAAGAGGTGGTCAGAGACTGTGGACATAGTAGTAGACGTCATCAGAGACTGTGGACACAGTAGTAGCGGTCGCCAGAGACTGTGGACATAGCAGAGGAGGTGGTCAGAGACTGTGGAAATAGTAGAAGAAGTAATCAGAGACTGTGGACATAGTAGAAGAGGTGGTCAGTGACTGTGGACATAATAGAAGGTAATCAGACACTGTGGACATAGTAGAAGAAATGTTCAGAGACTGTGGACATAGTAGATGTAATCAGTCACTGTGGACATAATAGAAGAGGTAATCAGAGACTGTGGACATAGAATAGGTGGTCAGACACTGTGGACATAGTAAAAGAGTTGGTCAGAGACTGTGGACATAGTAGACGAGGTAATCAGAGACTGTGGACATAGTAGAAGAAGAGGTAATCAGAGACTCTGGTACATAGTAGACGAGGTAATCATAGACTGTGGACATAGTAGAAGAGGTAACCATAGACTGTGGACATAGTAGAAGAGGTGGTAAGAGACTGTGGACACAATGGAAGAGGTGGTCAGAGACTGTGGATATGGTAGAAGAGATGGTCAGAGACTGTGTACATAGTAGAAGAGGTGGTCAGAGACTGTGGACATAATAGTAGATGTTATCAGAGACTGTGGACATAGTAGTAGCGGTCGTCAGAGACTGTGGACATAGTAGGGGAGGTGGTCAGAGACTGTGGACATAGTAGAAGAAGTAATCAGAGACTGTGGACATAGCAGAAGAGGCGGTCAGTGACTGTGGACATAGTAGAAGAGGTAATCAGACACTGTGGACATAGTAGAAAAAGTGTTCAGAGACTGTGGACATAGTAGAAGAGGTAATCAGTCACTGTGGACATAATAGAAGAGGTAATCAGAGACTGTGGACATAGTATAAGAGGTGGTCAGACACTGTGGACATAGTAAAAGAGTTGGTCAGAGACTGTGGACATAGTAGAAGAGGTAATCATAGACTGTGGACATAATAGAAGAGGTGGTCAGAGACTGTGGACATAATAGAAGAGATGGTCAGAGACTGTGGACATAGTAGAAGAGGTGGTCAGAGACTGAGTACATAGTAGAAGAGGTGGTCAGAGACTGTGGACATAGTAGAAGAGGTGGTCAGAGACTGTGGACATAGTAGAAGAGATGGTCAGAGACTGTGGACATGCTAGAGAAAATGGTCAGAGAATGTAGACAAATGACAGTACAAGAGATGGTCATAAACTTCAGACATGCTTCAGGAGTTGAAGTCTGGGGAAATGCTGCAGGAGACAGTCATGGACTGGAGTCACATTACACGAGACTGCTAGAGATCACTGTTATTACAGTCCCTTTACAAAGCAATACTTCCACATGTGTGCATCATACAGTCCACATTACAGTCTCTGATATCACATTTGACATTTCGCACAGCAAGGTCCATTATAAAAGATGAGAGGAAGAAAAGCATTAAAAAGAGATGGACAGGCCGGTGACTCTGCCTAGGCTCAGATGATGTCATCAGTCTGCTGTGATTACTGTGAGGGGTAATAAATACCTGGAAGTATTGCACTGGTGCACTACTTCTGTGGACATAGATAAAAATAAATCTGATGACAGGTCCACTTTAACTCCTCGCCTACAGGGCACTTCTACCCCCTTCCTGCCCAGGCCAATTTTCAGATTTCAGCGCTGTAGCACTTTGAATGACAATTGCGTGGTCATGGAACGCTGTACCCATATGAAATTTTTTATCATTTTTTTCAAACACATAGAGCTTTCTTTTGGTGGTATTTAATCTCTTCTGGGTGTTTTTATTTTTTGTGCTATAAACAAAAAAAGAGCAAAAAATTTGAAAAAAAAGTTATTCCTTGTTTCTATTATAAAATTTTGCAAGCAAGTCATTTTTCTCCTTCAATGATGTGTGTTGATGAGGCTGCACTGATAGGCAGCACTGATGGGCACTGATAGGCGGCACTGATAGGCAGCACTGATGGGCACTGATGGGCACTGATAGGCACTGATAGGCGGCACTGATAGGCGGCACTGATGGGCACTGATAGGTGGCAGTGATTGGCGGCACTGATGGGCACTGATAGGCAGCACTGATGGGCACTGATAGGCGTCACTGATAGGCAGCACTGATGGGCATTGATAGGCGACACTGATAGGCAGCACTGGTGGGCACTGATAGGCAGCACTGATAGGCAGCACTGGTGGGCACTGATAGGCAGCACTGATAGGCAGCTCTGATGGGCATTGATAGGCAGCACTGATAGGATGCACCGATAAAGTGGCACAGATAGGCAGCACTGATAGGAGGCACTGACAGGTGGCACTGATAGGTGGAACTGATGAGCTGGCAATGATGGGCACTGATGGGAGGCACTGACAGGCAGCACTGACAGACAGTACTGATGGGCACTGATAGGCAGCACTGATAGGAGGCACTGATGAGGTGGCACAGATAGGCAGCACTGATGGGCACTGATAGGAGGCACTGACAGGTGGCACTGATAGGAGGCACTGACAGGCGGCACTGATGGACACTGATAGGCGGCACGGATGGACACTGATAGGCAGCATTGATGAGCACTGCTGGACAGCACTGACTGACGGCACTGCTGGACAGCACTGATGGGTGGCACTGCTGGACACAAGTAGGTGGCATTGTTAGGCACTGCTGGGCACAGGTGGGTGACACTGCTGGGCAGAGGTGGGTGGCACTGCTGGGCACAGGTGGGTGACACTGATGGGCATAGGTGGGTGGCACTGACGGGCACAGGTGGGTGGCACTGATGGGTATAGGTGGGTGGCACTGCAGGGCACAGGTGGGTGGCACTGATGGGCACAGGTGGGTGGCACTGATGGGTACAGGTGGGTGGGCAATGTACATGGAGACTAATCATACATGATTAGTAAAATCTTGGGTGTCAAGTTTGCTGTATGCAATTTTAAGGCCTGAAAATATTGGGTATCTAATACTTGGCACAAACTCTTCTTTTATATTTTATCAAAATTAACTTTAGTGTATTTTTTACTGTGCTAATATTGTGTGAGAGTAAAACATTGGCAGCTACTTCATATATACACTCTTTCCCTCTTTCTCTACGGTCTATGTTCCGATGACAGTTGATGTATGGATACTGGGTTTGGTAAACCCATCAGCATTTACCTGAGCTACCAGTATATAAAAGCTTCAAGTAGTTACAAAACAGAGCCTTTGGACATTCCCCGGCTCTTTATAAAGCATCTTAGCTCTCCTGAGGTTGTCCTAAAAAGTGTAATAAAGTTTGGGATCTGTGGGTCAACTACTACAGCTGGGACCTCCGTTGACTTTACTCGCTGCTGCCAGAGGGGAACACTTTCATCGTTCATGGTGGAACGAGGTGCTCCAGATTACTCCTGGCCATAATGTATGGAGCTGTAGTCGGGTTTTGTGTCTCCTGCTTTCCCTCCTTATCTTGTGAGCGTTTGTGGATGGTAATCTAAGCAGTAGAGTTGTGACCTGTGTACAATGTACTCTGTATTATTTATTGAGCCGCGGAATGTCCAAAGGCTCTGTTTTGTAACTACCTGAAGCTTTTATATACTAATAAAAAGAATTGAAAAAAAATTAAAATTGTCACTACTGCCATTTTATTCCCTGAACTCTCTGCTTTAAGAACCTATATACTGTTTTAGGAGATTTAAGTAAAAATGAAGACATTTTCAATTGGATGGCGTGATTATTTTGTGCAATACTCTTACGTTAATTAAGTTTAAATAAAATGAAATACAATTTTAAAAAAGTTAAATATCTTGAAGTCTATTTCTCCTTTACTGACCTCAATTTAACAAAAGAGTTAGGTACACAAAAATGTTGTAATGTAGATTTACTGGAAACTGTTACGGTAGACCATTACTGTAACTCTGGAAACTGAACTTTTAGCAGCCAGAAATGTTAACCTCTGTGGAGTCCAAGTTTGTATTAGTTGTCTTTGGTTTGTATTTAGTTTGAAGTTAAATATATGCACAGAGTCAGATAACATATTAGTATGTATAGTTGTCACAGGTCTGCAGCTTTGTTGCAGATCTGTCTCCTCTATTCACAAAGATCAGCAGGCATGCTGGTCTATGTAGTTCAATCACTTATTCTGCTGTTACCTGTTATTGAATAAGACTTAAGGCTGGTTGACTATCTGTTGGTAATTCAGTTAGCTGCACGCTCAGCCCAGTCAGGCCATCTCCCTTTCTATTTAAGCTGGGCTCATTCTCTCAGACTTTTCCTGAGCAACAACTAGTGTTCCTAGTGCCAGGTACCCCCTGTGGTCCAAGTAGTTTTCTAGTGTCCCCTCTCTTTCCTGGGGGAGAAGATTATTAGTGTACCCCCATTCCTAGAAGAGAAGATTCTTAGTGCACCCCCATTCCTAGCAGAGAAGATTCATAGTGTACCCCCATTCCTAGATGAGAGGATCCCTAGTGCCCCCTATTCCTAGTGGAGAAAATTCCTAGTGTACCCCCATTCCTAGCTGAGAAGATTCTTAGGGCACCCCCATTCCTAGTGGAGAAGATCTCTAGTGTACCCCCATTCCTAGAAGAGAAGATTCAAAGTGTACCCCCATTCCTAGAAGAGAAGATTCTTAGTGCACCTCCATTCCTAGCAGAGAAGATTCATAGTGTACCCCCATTCCTAGAAGAGAAGATTCTTAGGGCACCCCCATTCCTAGCAGAGAAGATTCTTAGTGCACCCCCATTCCTAGTAGAGAAGATTCATAGTGTACCCCCATTCCTAGCAGAGAAGATTCTTAGGGCACCCCTATTCCTAGTGGAGAAGATCCCTAGTGTACCCCCATTCCTAGAAGAGAAGATTCTTAGTGCACCCCCATTCATAGCAGAGAAGATTCATAGTGTACCCCCATTCCTAGCTGAGAAGATCCCTAGTGCCCCCTATTCCTAGTGGAGAAAATTCCTAGTGTACCCCCATTCCCAGCTGAGAAGATTCTTAGGGCACCCCCATTCCTAGAAGAGAAGATTCTTAGTGTACAACCATTCCTAAAAGAGAAGATTCTTAGTGCACCCCCATTCCTAGCAGAGAAGATTCTTAGTGCACCCCCATTCCTAGTAGAGAAGATTCATAGTGTACCCACATTCCTAGCAGAGAAGATTCTTAGTGTACCCCCATTCCTAGTATAGAAGATTCATAGTGTACCCCCATTCCTAGAAGAGAAGATTCTTAGTGTACCCCCATTCCTAAAAGAGAAGATTCTTAGTGCACCCCCATTCCTAGTAGAGAAGATTCATAGTGTACCCCCATTCCTAGAAGAGAAGATTCTTAGTGTACCCCCATTCCTAAAAGAGAAGACTCTTAGTGCACCCCCATTCCTAGCAGAGAAGATTCATAGTGTACCCCCATTCCTACAAGAGAAGATTCTTAGTGTACAACCATTCCTAAAAGAGAAGATTTTTAGTGCACCCCCATTCCTAGCAGAGAAGATTCTTAGTGCACCCCCATTCCTAGTGGAGAAGATTCATAGTGTACCCCCATTCCTATCAGAGAAGATTCATAGTGTACCCCCATTCCTAGCAGAGAAGATTCTTAGGGCACCCCTATTCCTAGTGGAGAAGATCCCTAGTGTACCCCCATTCCTAGAAGAGAAAATTCTTAGTGTACCCCCATTCCTAGCAGAGAAGATTCCTAGTTCACCCCCATTCCTAGCAGAGAAGATTCCTAGTGTACCCCCATTCCTAGCAGAGAAGATTCATAGTGTACCCCCATTCCTAGCAGAGAAGATTCTTAGTGTACCCCATTCCTAGAAGAGAAGATTCTTAGTGCACCCCCATTCCTAGCAGAGAAGATTCTTAGTGCACCCCCATTCCTAGCAGAGACAATTCTTTGTGCACCCCATTCCTAGCAGAGAAGATTCATAGTGTACCCCCATTCCTAGAAGAGAATATTCTTAGTGCACCCCCATTCCTAGAAGAGAAGATTCTTAGTGCACCCCCATTCCTAGCAGAGAAAATTCTTAGTGCACCCCCATTCCTAGCTGAGAGGATCCCTATTACCCACTATTCCTAGTGGAGAAAATTCCTAGAGTATCCCGATTCCTAGCTGCGAAGATTATTAGGGCACCCCTATTCTTGGTGGAGAATATCCCTAGTGCACCCCCATCATAGTGGAGAAGATTCCTATTCAGAAGAGAAGATTCACCAGAGCAGCCAATCACCAGCAAAGTCTAGCTCAGTCCATCCATCTGGGTCAGGGTACAACAGCGTCCAGCATACAAGCAGCTCAACTGCTTCTTCCATTCCCAGCAAGGCATAGCACAGCAAATCACCTCTTCCTCTGCAGCGGCTCTCTGGTTGGTACTCTCCCCAATTACCCTGCACCTCCACCACATTACACACTGTGACACGTATACAGCGTTGTTAATGAAATTTCTCCTTAAGCTTCCACTCCCCTGCAAACACAGGTGGGAGAAGGATCTGGATTTTTTCTCTGAGGAGCTCTGAAAAGATATACAACAATACACCCAACTGGTTTTGCTCTCCCCTGGTCACAGCTTTTCATCCTTAATAGAGTGCATCATACAGCTGACTCTCTCTTAGAGAGAATTCAGTGTGCTCGGTGTAACCACCCAAAGGGTAGCCTTTTACATTGATTATGCAGAATGACAAAACTTAGTAGGTATTGGGACGGGGTCATCACAACTTTAAGTTGCCTTTATGGTATTAACCTGAATCCTGAACCTCTACACAGGGGTCTCCAAACTTTCTAAACAAAGGGCCAGTTTACTGTCCCTCAGACTTTAGGGTGGGCCAGACTATGGCCATTGGAAGTAGAAAATTTCCTGGCATCAGTGGGAGTAAACAATGCCCCTATTCAGTGTAAGGAACTGTGTCCCACCATTGGTGTCATTGAGTGGAAAGAATCATGCCCCATTGTTGGTGTAATTGGAAAAACTGTGCCATGTCATTGGTGTTATTGGGAGGAACTGTGCCCCATCATTGGTAAGGAATTGTGCCTCTACGTTGGTGACAGTGGGGGGAATTATGCTCCATTGTTGGTGACAGAGAATGAAATATTGCACCAAGGGCCAGATAAAAGCAAGCAAAGGGTCTTGGTTTAGAGACCAATGCTCTAACATGTAACCTAGGCCATGTTGACTCCACTGTGTTGGATGATAACTTAACCTTAGTGGTTTCAAGATCACTTTTATAAGTCAGAAAATGCTAGCTCTAAAAGGGGTATCTGCTATTCCACCAACTGTAGAATTGGTGTGAATTAAATCGATGTATTTCATTTGAAAAGCATATACACCTCCCTTGCAATACAATGTGCAAATTTGATGCAATATGATCCAGATGGATACATGTAATGAACCTCTCAATTGATCATTGTTAAGTATCTCACATTCAATGCTAACTGCAGTTAAACTGAATGTTTATACAATTCCACCAAGGTTTTTTCTGATGATGCATCCATATAGAAGGGACCTTGTGTGCTCAGGGCTGTATTTTGGTTCTATCTTACTTCTCTTTTCATTGTCTGTCTTTCCTGTGTGACTAGGTTACTATGTAAATGGAAAGATTTTCTATCTTTAAATAAAATCTAATTTAAAAAATTTGATTATTTGCAAAACTGTACATAAAAGTTAGACAGTGCCAAGTTTCCTGAAGTCTCATTTGCTTTCCTCAATGTAAAAAAATATTATGTACACTGTAGTTTAATCATTATAGATCTGCGACCATTGCATGGTAAGCTAAAACATGTCTCTGTAAACAATGAAAATCTACTTTCTGGATAAGATTTGGGGTCAAAGTTTGTGTTTAATGTTTTTGATTTACATTGTTTGCAAGTAGAAATATGCACGTAGTCAGATAACATATCAGTATATATAGATGACCACTTTGGATCTTCTTGTTTCTACCCTGGACAGGTCCCTTGTGTCTACCTTGGACAAGCCCCTTGTGTCTACCTTGGTGAGTACCATTGTACGATCAAGTATGATT